TCCGATCTGCATTCCTGTTGGATTCTTTTCAGCTTCCTTGAATGAGATAGCCAGAACTATTGAGGACAGTTCACATCCCCAAAATTTTGTCAATAAGTTGAACTGGATAGATTTGTCTGCAGAAAACTCCAAGGTGAATTTTGTGTATTATTTGGCTTCTCTCTTTCTCTCTTTTTCCTGTTTTTTTTTTCTCTAAGTAGTTATCCTAATGGTGTCATGCTGAGATTTCAGGAGGCTTATTGTAAGAAGCCTTGCAAATTACAATGTGCCATACTAGTGCACAATTCTGAGGTCGAGATTAACAATGAACTATCTAATTATGATGCCCACAAATCTGGGTTTATTCAAATTAGTCCTAGCAAGGAAGGTCCTTGGACTACTGTGAGGCTAAACTATGCTGCCCCTGCTGCTTGCTGGCGGTTAGGCAATGTTGTTGTTGCCAGTGAAGCTAGTGTCAAGGATGGCAATAGATATGTGAATATTCGATCTCTGGTTTCTGTTCGTAACAACACAAATTTTGTGCTTGACTTATGCCTCACTTCAAAAACTTCGTCAGAAAAGGTGCATTTGCTTAAAGATTCAAGTAATTCTGAATCTATCCAAACAGAGAGCAACAGAATTCAGACAGATGAGTTTTTTGAGACTGAAGAGTTAACTCCACATATTGGTTGGGTAAGTTGTTCAGGCTATTCTGGGAATCACATGTCAGACAGAGGAAAATCTCAGCAGGTGACTGTTAGTTGTTTTCACTTTTCATGGGAACTATTTTCTATCTGCTTCCTGTATCGCTCATATGCCTGACCTTTTATTTTTTTTTTCTATCGATGAAGGTACAAACTGATATTTGCATAAAATGCTCATAGTTTTTCTCAGACTTCTCTCTTTTAGAGGATCAGTGATATGTGGGGTGCTTGGGAAATTTCAAAACAGATCAAACACTTGTGCTGTTACCGTTATACTAGCCTTAGAGCAGGATTAGACTTGAAATTTATTTTAGACTACATATGATAATGTCTTTATAATCACATTTCTTGCTTGTTTTTGTTTTCTGGATAGAAGATTTTTCATGCATGTTAAGACACAAACATTGCTCTAGAAATTGCTATCAAGTTGTAGAATGATTATCATGAATAAGAAATTGACAAACCCTAAGCTTGTAAACTTTCATATCAAAATGTTGTTTACAGGCTCTCTAGAAAACCTTTTGGTTGTCTATTGAAAACTCTTTTTCCAAGAGAAAATGGTGTATAAACACTAGATTTAGATTTCAATTTTCATCATACAATAATCTAATATTGAGGCAAAACATAAAACTAAATTTTGTATGGCATCAAGGCAAGGTGCATATGTTTTCAAAGATAAACAATAGGAAAATCAAACAAGAAATATATTCATAAACTATGTGATCGGCAGTTTGGATTGATGTAGCATTTTTATTATTCTTTGTTGTCTTAATTTTTATTTATTTTTTTTAATTTTCTACAATCCAGGTTTTTCCTGGAATTGATCTACCACCAGGTTGGGAATGGATTGATGATTGGCATTTGGATACAAAATCTCCCAATACTTCTGATGGATGGATTTATGCTCCTGATGTGGAGAGTTTGAGATGGCCTGAATCCTTTGGTCCAAAGGAATCTTTTAATTCTGCCAGGCAGAGGAGATGGCTAAGAAGCAGGAAGCTAATAGTAGAGGATCTTAAGCATGAAATATCTGTTGGGCAACTGCAACCAGGAGAAACTGTTCCACTTCCTCTATCTGGTTTGACACAATCTGTACAATATTTCTTGCAGTTAAGGCCTTTAACTTCACCAACCTTGTGTGAGTACTCATGGAGTACTGTAGTGGACAGACCTAGGCAATCAGAAGATGTTGGTAGGGGAGGTCAATTCTCAAATCTGTGGGTTTCAGCTCTTTCAGAGTCGGAGGAACTGTTGTGCTGCAGTGAGATTCATGGCACCTCTGGTGGCTCCCATAAGTTGTGGTTTTGTGTAAGCATACAAGCAACTGAAATTGCTAAAGATATTCATTCTGATGCCATTCAGGATTGGTGTTTAGTGGTCAAGTCACCTCTAACAATTAGCAATTTTCTTCCCCTTGCTGCTGAATATTCTGTTCTTGAAATGCAATCAAGTGGCCACTTTCTTGCATGTTCTAGAGGAGTATTTTTATCAGGAAAAACTGTACAGATATACAATGCTGATATTAGGAACCCTCTGTTTTTGTCTTTGCTTCCACAGAGGGGTTGGCTTCCCATACATGTAAGATGGTGCTGTAAATACCCTTTCCTTTTGTGATTTAGTTACTTGGTCATTTTTGTTATAATGTATTATGCCATTAAAATCTCACCGTTCCCCTTTCCTGAACAGGAAGCCGTTCTTATATCCCATCCTCATGAGAATCCATCAAAAACAATTAGTTTGAGAAGTTCGATATCTGGAAGGTTGTACAGTTCTGGATGTGGAATAGTTAGAAATTTCCCAATCTATTACAATATTATTTCTAAATTTATAAATTATGCTGAAACTTTTTTTGGCCTCTACTTTTGATTGACAACTTAATTTGCATCAACCCATCTTATATTCCTCCTAATGTGCAGGGTGATCCAAATCATTCTTGAGCAGAACTATGACAAAGAGCACACCTTGCTGGCTAAAACAATTAGAGTCTATGCTCCTTATTGGTTAGAAATAGCTAGATGTCCTCCACTTACATTTAGGATTCTAGATATGTCAGGAAAAAGACATATGCCAAAGGTTGCTGCTCAGTTTCAGACTAACAAGAAAAATGGATTAATCCTTGAAGAAATAACTGAAGAAGAAATATATGATGGTTACACAATTGCATCTGCTCTAAACTTTAATATGCTGGCCCTTTCAGTGGCTATTGCCCAATCAGGAAATGAGCATTTTGGACCTGTTACAGATCTTGCTCCTCTTGGTGATATGGTAATGTCAAGATTTATATGTAGACAAACTATAAGTAATCGCATATGATTTTCTAAAATTGATTTTTTTTTTTATCCTTAGGATGGCTCTTTGGATATATATGCATATGATGGTGATGGCAATTGCTTGCGGCTTATTATTTCTACAAAACCATGCCCCTATCAGTCTGTTCCGACAAAGGTTGTTACAGAAGATCAAACTTAGTATGTTATTAGGCAGTTAGGTTGTAATACTCTTGTATTTGTGATTGTCTCTGCAGGTAATTTCTGTTCGGCCGTTTATGACTTTCACTAATAGACTTGGTCAAGATATATTTATCAAATTGAGCACTGAAGATGAACCAAAGGTTTTGCATGCTTCTGATTCAAGGGTATACTTTGTGTGTCGTGGAATTGGTGGACCTGAAAAACTCCAGGTTGGCTATAGTTCATAGTTGATATATTGCTGCAATAATTGACTCATTTAGGGCCAGTTTGTTTAAAATTTATAAAGTGATTTTTAAAGATGCATATTGGGAAAAACCCAAGTCCCACTTTAAATGGGCCACTATTCTAACATGGTATCAGAGCCATTAAGATCCACTTTAAATGGGCCACCCACCATTGATGCATGTGCCATAGGCATGAGGGGGTGTATTGGGAAAAAAACCCAAGTCCCGCCTATCCTAGATCATTAAAAAGGGCCACCCACCATTTATCCACGTACCAAGCCCAATAGTGCTGGACGTGAGGCGGTGTATTGGGAAAAACTCAAGTCCCACATCGACTAGAGATTAGGCAATTGAATAGTATATAAGTGGAAAACAACCCTCACCTTACAAGCCGGTTTTGTAGGGTTGAGTTAGGCTTAATCCACTATTCTAACAATGCATATGGAAGTTGCTACATAAAAAAAAAGCAGAAAACTGTTTATTTTATTAAAAAAATGTTCTTTTAAATGTTTAAACAACAGACCCTTAGTTTCTTCTACATTTCTTCTACTGGACATAAAGAAGAAAATTTATAGAAATTTCATATTATCAATTGTCAAAGGTATTGTTATTGACATATTTGTGATTTTGTCAATAAATATGAAATCATGGGGTTTTGTTACTCTTATGTATCTTATGTTGATATTGGTATCGATTTGATTAGGCCATGTTAAACCTTCTATTAAGAATATCTATTATAGGAGAAATACAAAATGTCCCATTGTAAGTAAACCCATTACTGGGTGAAGCTTCTTTAGGAAGTTAATTAGTAGCACTGTAGCTGTTCTAAATACGAAAATTTAGGAGGGGGTAGAGGTTTTTTTTTCTTTTTTTCGGGAGTTGTAGTTTGGTTGTTGAGGAGAAAGATACAATGCAATGAAAGATTCTTTTCTATTCTTTGCCTATGCTGGTTTACCAGTTCCCTAACATTAGTATCGGAGCTCTCATATAGGGAGTTCCTGATGGTTAAATCTGGAGGTAAGACTTGAGAAACTGGAGTGCAGTTTTGAATCTTGGTTGAAACTAACTGGTTGAGGAAGACTCGATTCAAGAAAGGCAAGATAGGGAAGGCTTTGAAGCATGGCTGAAGCAAACTGAAGTTGATTGGATTCATGCAAGTAGAGATTGTGAATTGCAATAAGCCAAAATGAAGAACTTAGATGATATGGTGGCCAAACGGGTACAAAATCCTCAACCAGATTGAAATTCTAATAATGGGTTGACTGGGTATGGCACATGGCGGGTCACTCAAAAAATAGATATGGATAGACAGGAAATGGGGATCAGTTCAAGGGACATGAGTTTCAGAGAATAATGGTGGAGGATAATCAAGGTTCCTCTATTTTTGGGAGAAGACACATTTGGCTGGTCAAACAGGGCTAAGATATATTTCCAATTGAAGGGATTGATGGAAGTGGGAAATTTGTGGATAATAGTGATAACCATGGGAGGCAAGGTTATACCTTGATTCAAGGGATATGCCCGAACTGTCTTGGGCAGAATTCAAAGTTGCAACAATCAGAAGAATGAGGTGTTGGTGTAAGCTCTAGAGGCCAATACTTTTCTGTGGTTTACATCTGTATCTTCCTCAGTTTTAATGAAATAAGGTGTTTAGTTTATTATGTGTGTATTGGAACATGATAAAGTTCATAGAATAGTTTATACTAGTTTTAAATATCTCTAGTCAAGTATTATTGTTGATAAGAACAACAATAATACATTAAAGTTAGTATGAGAATAGACTGATGACTGCCTTGGATGAGATGTGGAGTCTTCACATAGGCAAATGATTAGTGTAATGCACTGGAGTGACCCGCTATGAGAATGCTACATAAAAAGCTATGTTTGTGTCATAACTCAAGCGATTCTTGATATAACTATAGTGTGTAAAGTCCTTAGACATGAAATCACTACAATTCCTACTTGGGAAGTTTTATGTTTTAATACCAGCAAACATCACCTGTAATAAGGTGATTGTAAAGTTGGTTATTGAATTTAGAATGAATCATGAAGAGGAATGTGAGTGTTATTGTTTTCCTATAAATAGAAATTGCTCAAGGCAAAATGAGTGCTCGCTTTACAAAAACCACACGGTATACTTGTGTGAAAAACCCTAGCATTTGTTTTGATCCTGTGCTTAGCTAGCACTGCTGTCTTCTCTCCTGGTTGTGAATCGACGAGGTAGCTGCTTGCATGGATTTGAAAGAGGTCCGACTCTCTTCTACTGGACTACGTGATTGATAACACAAACTCTGTTGAGGTTGCACACTACAAGAGGTAATTTTTATCACGGTGTTATGCTTTTTTGCTTGGATTTGATGGTGGGAATGTTTTCACCATGACTGTTTTTGGTCTGTGTTTCCCAACATGTGGTACTATTGTGTTGGGATTGAGGCAAACATACTATGGAAGAATAAAGAACAGTTTGAACTTTATGCGAATCCAAGTGACTTGAGAAAGTCATCTGTAAACCAAAGAATAAAGATGGAAACATACTTTTGATGACTCCAAAAGAGGGATGTCCTAATCAACAATGGTAAAGCAGAGGATTTATTTTTATTAGTGAGTATAGACTCTGACATGAATTAGTGAGACAGGATGTTTTTGGCTGTGATGAAGACTTGATTCTTACTTGTAGAGAAGACCATTCACTTCTCTTGCGTGTCCATTTGTCCTCCCTGAATCCTTGTTCTCAAATACACAATAACTGCTGTTAATAAATACTTTACGCCAAAGTACATGAACTGATGGTTTCTCCGTTGCCATAGGAACTAGTAGACTCTTTACTGTCAATCAAATGAGGGGCAAGAAAAACTACCCAAGAATTGAGATATCCACAATAAACTAGCCCCTGCAATAAGTCCAGGGGTGTCAATGAAGAAAAAATGGCCCGAGGGCAAAGTTGGTGCCAAGAGTGAGACACTCATTTGCCATCCAATTTCAGGGAAAAAACTGGGCAAACAGTTGAACTGAATCGCAACGTGGTTGATGACTGTCAAAAGGTGGTCAACAGGTGGAATCTTGACATCAGTTGGTACCCAATCAAGTTTGAAGGGTTCTGACCACTCCAGAGCTCAGTCAGACCTTCTATTATCCGTTTTTTTTTTGTGAAACCTTGGGGTGTGCATGGTTCAATTTTTTAACAAATCACATTGAATTGCACTGCACCACACTATTTTATTAGTAAACTGGTTCAAATCTGAAATACTTTTATGAACATGTGTAAAACTGGTCTAGAACCAGTTTTGGAATTAAACAAGTTTTGGACTAGTTTTGAGAACTGAACCATTTTAAACCTTTTTTTTTCAAAATTATGAACAAAGTCATAGATTAATGCACTCTTACTTTGGAGACAAATTAAAAACCTTGCACTAGACTCCTAACTGGGGTGCTAATCAAGTATAATCAGTGAGATATTATTCACTCCTGTAGTTAGGAATAATGTAGCGATTCCAAGTAACAGTGACTGCTTACAAACATGTTATACCAATAATGATCCTAGGATATAAACTAAAATCATAACTATGATATAGGTGAGTTTGTTTAAAATTAATAAAATTATTTCCAAAATCTTATTTTAAAAAATCATTTTATATTGGTAAGAAAAATCATTTTAGACAAATACATCAAAAAACTAGAAAAATACTTATTTTTATAAAAAAAAAATTGCTTTTTTAGGGAAAATAAATTTAAACAAATGGGTCCAGAAAGGTCAACTTCAAATTACTAAAAAGCTATAACTAGCGCTTTCAAAATTAATTATGAAGCATGATTTGATAGTTGACATTTACTTAATAATCTAAAGATAATTAGAAAGTAAAAAATAAAACAAAAAACACCAGACCATGAGAAGGATGCAAACATTTTGTGAGACTGCAAGTCACTAAGTTGTGAGATGTGGGGGATACAAGTTTTCACGTTATTTGTTGTTGTCCACTTAGGATTTAGAATTATTTTCATCATTTTGATTATTTTTAAATTTATGTCTGGACTCATCATCTGATTGAGTTTTAATGATTTGAACATTTTTTCTTTCTACTTTTAGGTAAGACTAGATGGTACCAGTTGGTCATTTCCTCTTCAAATTGTAAAAGAAGACACAATCTCCCTTGTTTTGAGGATGAATGATGGTACTATCAAATTTTTGAGGACTGAAATTCGTGGATATGAAGAAGGATCCCGTTTTATTGTTGTATTCCGCCTTGGGTCAACTGATGGTCCTATCAGGTACTGATATGCCTATATTATCCTTGTAAGCAAGACATTGTGTTTATCTAGTTCTTATCACAATTGGTGGAATAATTCTGATATGGTATGCCAGTAACTCATAAGATCTCTTGTACAGTAAGAACAATAATAACATATAGGAGCATGCTTAAACAAAACAGCTTTTCAGCTTGAAATTCTCATTGCCCCTTTTGGTTATGAACATTTTGTGAACAGAAAAGGACATATTACACGCACTAGATCTAATTCTTTTTATTAGTTGAACGATTCTCATATTCTTATCTTGAACTACACTCCTTTTCTTAACCGTTCCATTTATCTCTTTCAATTTACCACTTCTTATCTCTGTCTTCAAATTGAATTTCAATAGTTTTCTAAAATAATTGTCTATAAAAATAACCTGATCTCACAGTTTAAATTGTTCATTCTAAATTTAAAATATAATTTATATATTTAGAATATTTATTTATAATAAATTTTAATTATAATATAATTTATATATTTAAAATTTATTTATTTTGAATTTTAATTATTTAATAATAAATATTTGTCTTGGAGCTAAAATACTAGTTAAATAAATAAACCCCATCATTTATTAGGAAAAATATTCCTAATATTATGTGCTTAATTAGAGGTCTAATTGATTCCATACATATATTATATATAGATGTTCAAAAGTTCTAAAGATATAATATATTTTCAAGATTTTCTTGGATATTATAACGTACACTATTAGTTCATTTAACTAGTTTTCACTTTATGGATGGGATGCAAGCATTTGTGGGAATTCAGAGATGGGCTTATAAGCATTGCAGTTGGTCATCTGTTGAAGTTTCTCTGTATCAGGCCAGCCTGGTCTGAGATTCACAAGTCAGATTGAGCAAGTGCTGGCCCAAATTCAGATTGGATATTATTTCTTTCACTCGAGTCATATTTCATGTTGTTATTTGGTTTGATTGCTAGAGGTGTATCATGAGCCAATTCTCCCAGGAGGTTAAGCTGTAAGGAGAAGGGATATGAATGAATTTTTTTAATATATTTCTTATAATGTGAAAAAGAATTTTTTATTTTTATTTTTATTTCTATATGTGCTTCTGTAATTCTGTTTATTTTAAAAAGAGGAAAATGGACAAAATTAATTAGCAATAAACGAGTTATAAATTTTTGTACACATTCTTCATAGGGTTGTCATATAATTAATGTACATATGGTATTGAACTAACTGAATTTTATTTCATTTATAATTATTTTTAAAGTTATTTATATTATTTCTTTTTCTTAGAAACTACTCAAAGTAGCTTCTCAAAATGATCTGAAGTATTTTTTCATTTGAACAAACTTGCTTATTTTTTCAAAAGTAATTTGTCACTTAATGGGACAATCTTTAAACAAATTAACTAATTGTAGGTTTCACATAATAGATTCAGTGTTTGTCATTATTGTCTGTCTAAATCTGATTCAATCTTGCATGAGTGTATTTCTATGGAGGGTAGCTTACTTAGCTTTAAACAGGATTGAGAACAGAACAGCAGACAAGGCACTTAAAATTCGTCAGTCTGGATTTGGTGAAGATGTTTGGATTCAGTTGCAACCTCTATCGACAACTAACTTTTCTTGGGAAGCTCCATATGGCAATAAGTTTTTAGATGCTAAACTTAGTGATGATGATAGCAATACAATTTGGAAACTTGATTTGGAAAGGACTGGATTATCTTCTGCAGAATTGGGATTGCAATTCCATGTGATAGATAGGGGAGATGTAATAATTGCAAAGTTTACTGATAATAGGATACCAAGCTCAAGTTCATATGAAGAAATTAGAGGCCTAATGTCTGCTGGCAAAGGGGGAGCTTCTGGTGTTCAAGCTGAGATGCAGAGCAGTGTTACTCCTTTTGAGTTCTTGATTGAGTTAGGGGTGGTTGGAATTTCTTTGGTGGACCATAGACCAAAGGAGCTATCCTACTTATACTTGGAAAGGTTGTTCTTAACATATTCAACTGGCTATGATGGTGGAAAGACAAGCAGGTAACAGCCTTATCATATCATAAGATGCATCATTTAAATATGAGGCGTATATGTAAAATGCATTTTTTTCCTGTTTTAAAATATTTGTATTTTATGATACTTTGAGTTGCTTATATGGGGCTTTTTTATCTCTCTTTTCCTCCATGGTGTTGAAGTCTACCCATAATTTCTCTCGAGCCTTATTTTAATGTGTTACTAGTTAGTTGACCCTTGTGAGTACATGGGTCGCTTCTTTTTTATGCATGTAAAAATAATAAGAGTTAATTACCTATATACTCACAGTGTAAAAAAATTTTATGCTAGCAACTATCTTTTAATAATGTTATGTCATTTGCTCATTTAATCACATAAAAATAAAATAAAATAATTAAAAAAATATGATTTGACATAGTTAGTAAAAATAGAGGAGTCGGGCCGGACAGCAGTAGGAGAAGCCATATATGCTGGAACAGGAGAGAGAAACAGCAACAGGAGAGAGAAAATAGTCCGAGAAAGAAGAGATCCGTGGTAAAGAAGGTCCGATCACAAAACAAATAATAGATCAGGGTAGAGGACGTCGGGGCTCACTGCCGGAACGGTGGCCGGATGCGCCGCCACGCACGGCGGCAGACGGGGAGGAGAGAGAAACCGCGCGAGCACGGAGTCGCGCATGTGGGCGCGTACGACCTCCGTTTGCCGCGCGACTGGTGGCGTTGGGTTCGCCGGAGGAAGGCGAGCCGGGTGGGTGGGTCGCCGGCCGGAAAGATGACGGTGGTGGCGGTGGACGGCGGCGACAGCGAAGAAAAACGCCGGAAAATAGAGGGAAAACAGCCGGAAAGAGTCACGGCGAGGTGGTTGCCGGAAAACGGAATGAGACACGTTTTCCGGGCACCGAAGAACAGTGGGACCACCGGGAGGTCAAGGATTAGGCTCTAGATACCATATTGAGAGAGATGGTGAATGAAGAGAACATATTCCTTTGCAAAGCAAAAGATGTGTTTATATACAAAGTAGTGGGTCTAGGCCCATAAGATAAAACTATATCTAACAAGAATAAGAAGGGGTTACATATCGGTGAGAATTCTACCAATGGACTGTGAACAAACAACATAAGTGAACTTGATACCACATCTTAATCCAAATCATTATCATTAAGACATATAGGGTTTATGGGTCTTTTTCACATAGATATTACTCAACATACCTATCTCTATTTAATGTAGGACTTCTCATTCACACTTGCACATCGACAATCTCCCCTTCAAGTATGAGGGGAATAAAACACCCTTAAAGAACTCCATCAATGGGCCATGAACAAACCACACAAGTGAACTTGATACCACATCTTAACCCAAAACCTTAAAGGCATTAGGTTTATAGGTCTTTGTCACTTAAACCCATTTGATACATTGGATAAAAAGTGGGAGACATGATTAACTCTCCCACCTTAGCCTTCGTCCTATTACCAAAGGCATACAAATTACCAGGAAGTGATGTTGTATGAATGAATTGGGGTTTTAGAGGACATAAGCTTTTCCTTGGCAAAAGTGAAAATGATAGCCAGTTAGTTGCCCTAGCCATTGATGGAATTGAGGGAATAGGCCCGAAATCAAAATAATGAGGAAGCAACATGTTCAGTTGACGGCAATGTTTTAATTAATAGTAAATAGATTATATATCAGAACACTATATGATCTAGCCTTGCTTTATATTGTTGATGACCTTTTAGGATTCTCTTTTGATCATGCTATAGGCCACCTGGTAGTTCCTCTCATTTGTGATGAGTTATCAGTTTTATGACAGAATGACTAATGACTACAGAATATAATATCCCGGTTATTACATGTATAACTTTTTTTTTTTTTTTTTTCTGGTTTCTATCGCATCTTTTGTAAGCTTACTTGTGCATACATCAGAAAATTGATTTAGAGGCATTTTTTTGACAGGTTCAAGCTCATATTTGGTTATTTGCAACTGGACAACCAGCTCCCTCTAACATTGATGCCTGTGCTCTTGGCACCAGAGCAGATCTCTGATGTGCAACACCCGGTATTCAAGATGACAATCACCATGCAGAACGAGAATAAAGATGGAATTCAAGTTTACCCATATGTTTATATACGAGTATGCTCTGTTAAATGTTATGCAAAGATGTGATCTGTGATATTCTGATTTTCTTTTAGTAAAATTTCAAATATTTAAATAATATCATGTATAATCCCTTTAAATTTGGTGGACACTCTAGGTAACTGACAAGTGCTGGAGGCTTGAGATTCATGAACCTATTATTTGGGCTATCATGGACTTTTACAACAACCTGCAGCTAGATCGCTTACCCAAAAGTTCAACTGTCACTGAAGTTGATCCAGAGATACGTTTTGAGTAATATTCTTTCTTTTTACTTTTTCAAAATGTAATTTTGTTTTTGTTCAAAATTTTCCGTATTTTATATGTGGCTGCACTTATTTTGAGCTTTCTATTTTCACCATCAGCACCAATAACCCAATTTGCTTGTCAATTAAACGAATGTGTCTTCTGGCGGTGTATTGACAATTTGAAGCATGCATGAAGGCTATATATATAGTGTGTTTGGTTGCACGTTTTTTATGCGGTTTTTCACGTTTATTCAGAAGCGAATAGTTATTACTTCCACGTTTTAGGATGAATTGACGTGATTTTTTACTTTCTAACGCGTTTCCAAACATGCTAATAATCTCTTAGCAGGTGCAAGAGAAGCTGATGAACAAAGCAGAAAATAATATGTTGTATTTCTTCTTGTCTCGCGTTTGTGTTTGTATCAGAAATGTGCATCTGTCACACCTATCTACTCCAGTTATTGTCAATTTTAGGATAAGTGCATCCAAGTGTTGCATTCTTCTGCTGCGTATTTTAGGGGACATTATCTGAGCTTTTCAGGGGTATTCTTGTGTCAGACTTGCAAAGGGACTGGGTGATCCTCTGTTCTGATGTACACTCCCCTTTTTTAGTTTACTTTGTACCATATGGAGGATTCCTGATCCTTCTGTGTTGTACTTTTCCTCTTTTGATAAATCATTTTATCTAAAACTTCAAAGGCAAATGAATTATGTTCCAAGTCTGTCAAGTGGGAGACTTTGTGGATTTCTTTGGTAGAGAACTCATGTTTTGAAAGCATAAGGCCCCAATTAATATTTTCAATACATGTTTTTCCTTCAAAAGTACATCCTATGTTATTTATGGAGTATGATTCAAAATTCCGTGATTGAGAACCTTTGTGGAGAAAAAAAGGCTCGTTTGCTGTTAGGATGATTGGTTAGTTGACATGGTATTTATAGGGAACTTTGAAACGAGGTGGCTGAGTTCAATCCTTGCCATCTCAATTTTGCTGGTTAAGTTATTTCATATTTGGGTATAGTGATGAGCATGATCGTTTGTCCATGCTTCTGGTCCCAAGGGCTTTTGCATGGTGTGTTAGAGAGCATAAATATTCCTAGGGCTACTCCTTACAGCTTAAGCTTTTAGTAACAGATTACTTGACAAACCTGATTTATCCTTTCTTGGAATTGGTTGGAATGTGTTCTTATTATTATCAGAAGCGGAAGAAATCATTCTTCTTATTTTATTCAAATGATTGGTCTAGTACATAAATTGGTAAAATAGGGAGATAAAAAAGGAAACAAATAATAGGCAATTCCTATAATTAAATAGGAATCCCTGTAAATCAGTAACAGCAATAAAGAATAAATTGTAGATCCTAATCCCTGAAATTCTGCAACATAATAATATCCCATAAATTTTGGGATTCCTGTCCAACACTTATATATTATTATTATTAGGTTTTAGGTTTGCACATCCTATTGCAAATTTCTGGGTAAGTAGAATTACTTAAATACAGCCAGCTTCAAGTGTTGTGCACTGCTTATGATGAGATCTGTTTCCTGAAGAATGATAAGTTTATCCGACTGGATACATGTTACTAGCTAGTGATTTTGTTTGAAAAGAATGTGACTTTATTTTTTGATCCCATTAATTTTGCAGCCTAATAGATGTTTCAGAAGTAAGGTTGAAGTTTTCACTGGAGACAGCTCCAGGACAAAGGCCTCATGGGGTCCTAGGCATATGGAGTCCTATACTTTCAGCTGTGGGAAATGCCTTCAAGATCCAGGTGAGCTATGTAATATATAACATAGAATTACATTCAATTGCAATATGGCATTTGCAGTTTATTATTCTTTCCTTTCTTTTTTATATTCGATTAAATTATGTTGCCCTGCATCATACTTTTGATAGTATGTAGACTTGGATGAACACAAGTCTCATATATCTGCCGGGTTTTTATCATGGTATTTGCTATTTGGGTTTGTTGACGATCTGGCTTTAGATACAAAACCTTGACTGGGTTAAGGGCCATACTCCCTATCCAAATGTCATTTTGTTCTTCTATTACTATAGCATGTAATTCTATCCTTAATATTCTGATGCCTCAACCATGCATTTTCAATTTCCTCAAACTATTTTGTTCCATTTTATTTGATTCTGTTGCATTTTCTATTTTCCCTAACTATTTTGTTCCATTTTATTTGATCATGTTAAAACTTTTAGAGAACAAGTCCCACATTAGTGGATTAGAAACCAATAAAAAGGATACATAAGCATGAGGGTGATGTGTCCAAAGTGCCTGGATGAACAAATCACTCAAGCTGAAATCACTATCACAGTATTGCACATGGCCCACACATAAATTAAAAAAAAATTAGGAAAGTTACAACTAAAGGGAAGATTGAGTATCTTTCTAAACTTGTAAAACAAGGTAGAACAAAGAAGCATGGAAAAACTGAGAATGTACACAAGGATGTCAAGTCTCTTGCATGCCTGAAATTACTCCTGATTTCAAAGAGAAGCATTTTGCTTTTCTGTGTTGCAAGGATCGTGTTATCATCTTTTTTGCAAGTTCTTTGTACCATTGTGAATACTTGAGTGCATCTGGGCTTTAAAATTTTCTAGTTATGCCTAAGTATCCATAATTCATCACATCATTTTGTGACATTTTCCTTTACCAGAATGACATGACTGATAAAACTGTGACCTATTATTTTAGGTGCATCTGAGGAGGGTGATGCACAGAGACAGATTCATGCGGAAAAGTTCTATTGTTCCAGCCATTGGAAATCGTATTTGGAGAGACTTGATTCATAATCCTTTACATTTAATATTTTCAGTGGATGTACTAGGTATGACAAGTTCAACATTGGCTTCTATTAGCAGAGGGTTTGCTGAGCTTTCCACAGATGGACAATTTCTACAATTACGAGCAAAGCAGGTAACACATACCATAATTATTTAATTGCATGTGATCCAAAATGAGTTAAAACATGGCAACAGGTAAGATCAAGGAGAATCACTGGGGTTGGGGATGGCATCATTCAAGGAACAGAAGCTCTTGCCCAAGGTGTTGCCTTTGGTGTCTCTGGCGTAGTGAGAAAGCCTGTTGAGAGTGCCCGACAGAATGGTATTCTAGGATTGGCTCATGGGCTCGGACGTGCCTTTTTAGGTTTCATTGTGCAACCTGTAAGCGGGGCACTTGATTTTTTCTCATTGACTGTTGATGGAATTGGTGCAAGTTGTTCCAAATGCTTTGAGGTTTTCAACAGCAAGACTTCATTCCACAGAATTAGAAATCCTCGGGCTGTACATTCTGATGGGATACTAAGAGAATATTGTGAGAGAGAAGCTATTGGGCAGGTATGTTAATTAATTGCATCTCCACAAATACACTGAATCATTTAAATTGGTTATATTTTCTGGGAAGGAGGGGAAACGTGGGACACTTTCCCATTTGCTCCCATTAAGTTTTGAGTGTATTGTCTACATAGCTACTTGGGATGATTTCAAACTACTTGAGGGAGTTACATTTGTAATACATGAAAAGTGATCCTCTCTAAACTTAAAACAATGTGTCTTCATGTCATGATACCATTTTCAAGTTTTACCGTGTAACCTACGAAGGTTTCTGAATGATTTTGCCCTTAATGAAATACTAGAAATGAAATAATCATTAGATGGAGAAGGGAACAAGGCAATAGAGGGACACAAGAAAATACTTTTCACTAATAATTTTGAAATTATAGGTCATAGGTGCAAAGAAAAAGAGAAAAAAAGAATACACGGTATAAGAAGAATATATTGATGTTGTGTGTAATGATGTGATACAAAATGCTAACTCAATGATCCTATTTAATTATACTAATATTCAGGCTAATATATTGTAAAATACTCTTGCAGAGAGTGAGTAATTGTAATACTAAATACTGACCTTATACCCCAGTTTATGAACTACACTATGAAAGACAACAATACCATTTACTTTGGATGCACTCAAAGTGCACAATTATATCAATTTAACCATGAATCACTAATAAATTATATTTTCTCCAACAAAATATACTTGGAACAAACACTGCTGTTATAAAATTCATTCGTCAGTGAGAACAATTTTCAGGAGGGGGGATTTTCATTTGTTCCTAATAGTCATTTCTGTAGAATACACCAGAAATTTTGCTTTAAATGCTCGGGCAAAGGGGTTCTCTACTAAGCTAATTTCCAACTGTATGAGGCATATTTTTATTTTATTTTCTTACCATGACTTGGAGAAAGAGTACCTCCAGTCACTGGAAAAGATTTCGTTATGACCTGCAACCAAGCAAGATATCTGATTGCTTTTGTTGTATGTAAAATCTTCTGCCTGTTAGTCATCAAATTGCATGTATGCTATCATATGCAATGCCTTACGTAAGTTTTCTTTTCTCCATTTTTATTGCTTTGTTTCAGATGGTGCTTTACCTTGGAGAGGCAAGTCGACAATTTGGCTGTACTGAGATTTTCAAGGAACCTTCAAAATTTGCATTGTCTGATTATTATGAAGAGCATTTTACTGTGCCTCATCAGAGAATTGTTTTAGTAACCAATAAACGAATCATGCTTCTGCAGGTTAGTCCAAAAACTTAGTCATAGGAATTAGGGATTATGTTTCTCTTACAGAAAATGACTCAACTGCCTATTCTGTTTGTCTAGTGTCTTGCTCCTGACAAGATGGATAAAAAACCTTGCAAGATTATTTGGGATGTACCATGGGATGAGTTGATGGCACTAGAGTTGGCAAAAGCAGGCAGTTCCCAACCTTCTTTCTTGATCCTCCATCTGAAACATTTCCGCAGATCTGAAAATTTTGTGCGAGTTATAAAATGCAATAGTGTGGAAGTGTTTGAAGGAAGAGAACCCCAAGCCATTAAGATATGTTCAGTGGTGCATAGAACATGGAAAGCTTATCAGTCAAATGCGAAAAGCATGATTCTGAAGGTAAGTGGTATTCAAAACCTGGTTCATTTCTGGAAGTGGAACAGAATTTTTATAGAATCATCACTTCTAGGTTCCTTCAAGTCAGAGACATGTGTATTTTTCCTGGACTGAAGTGGATAGTAGAGAACCACGAACCCACAATAAGGCCATTATTAGCTCTAGAGATATGTCATCATACAGTACTGCATCTGATGACAGGCGCTTTGTCAGACACAGCATTACTTTTTCAAAGATTTGGAGCAGTGAACAAGAATACAAAGGTCGGTGCTCATTATGCAGCAGAAAACAGGTGCTTTACTATTCTACTTTACTCATTTCTTGTTCATGTTGCTTAAGCAAGCACTGGGACTAGAGTTTGTTCAACTGAGTTAATGGTGTTAAATGTAACAAGTATTCTATGTTTTCAGATATCTCAAGATGCCAGAATATGTAGCATTTGGAGACCTGTGTGTCCTGACGGGTAATTATCATTCTTCTCCTCAATGAATATACATTATTTGAATTTATTAAATTATCTGGTTGCACATGTGTAAGGAGTGTGAGTGATTCAAGTAAGCTGAGGATTTGAAGCTCATGCTAGGCTTATTTATTTAGACTAGTCCAATTTAAACATTTAGCTCAGTTTATTAAAAAGTAGGCTTTATTACACTTTTTGTTACTCATGTTTCACAATTTTACGAATTTTACCACTTAACTTTTGAATATGCACATTGTCACCAAATTTTCAAAATTTTCCACATTTTGTCATTTCATTAATTGATTACTAACATGACATATTGACTGTTGGCTTCATCACTTGTATGTCACATAATTAATCCACGACAGCGGTTAATGTGTCACATCAACAATTCACTGATGGTGTCAAATGATCAACTACTATGGTGATAAAATGTGCAAAATTTTGAAAGTTGAGTTGAAGTATGCAAATTCGGAAGTAGATTTGTAAAATTCACAAAATCGTGAAACATGGGTGACAAAAAATGCAATTAAGCCTAAAAAATGTTAAGCTTAAGCTCAACTTGTTTAGCTTTTTTTGTTTTATGGTTTCATTATTTTTTTACCCATTACCAAATATCTTCTTTGATATTTTTTAAGTTTATTAATTTATTATTTAATGATAGATATTTTCATGCTAGAAGATAAATTAAAAGAAAATGAAAAGAAGGTAAAAGAATATTTAAACTTTGGAGTTGTGCAATGATGGTTTTTTATATAAAATTATAATTCAAGTATACCTCTTACTTCATCTAAAACTAGCATTTTTGTATCAGCACCCCACCCCACTCCCCCACCTCCATCCTCTCCTCCAATCTTTGTGCGCATGTTGACTTGCTATCCTTTATTTGTCTTGATGCTAATTCAATTTAATTTATGTATTTAATCAATAATGCTACTAACTTAATCACCAAATATTTTGCTATTGCTTGAATGTTATTTTTATGCATGTCTTGGGAGTCTTAAAGGTTGAGCTTGCATTATTTATTCTATACTAATTTGTTTCAACAATTTTAAGAAATGTCATTGGCACGTATCACAAGTTATCTTCACGCTCTGAATTTTTCTGAAAGAAGATTAGTACTGTTCATGACCAATGCTATTTTCCCAATTTGATGTGGCATTGGAGGCAACCCCATCACTGATCTAGTTAGGTTCATTCATTCTTCCTGAGAAATAAAAAAAGAGATGTTCTCTGTAACTTTTGTTGATTCCTTTTCTCACCTTGGAGTTGCTGCAAACATGAATTAGTAAGATCAAGTCAACTGGAAAGATGAAAGCCATTTTCTTACATTAATAAATTGTATTCTTGGGCCCTTTGTTTAATTGAATTAATTAGATTTGAAAGGACATGCCTTTGTGTCAGTGAAACTGTACATATTTGTAATGTAAGTAATTTCTTTTCCAGTTATATATATATTGGAGACATTGCTCGTGTTGGTATCCATCCTCCAAATGTTGCTGCTGTTTACCGCAAGATTGATGGGTTTTTTGCTCTCCCGATGGGATATGACCTGGTAAGGTTATAATTGATGTTAAGAATACAAGTTGGCATGTTATGAGTTAATACTTTCATATGATCGCAAATCAAGTTTCACTAGTCATTTTAGAAGAAGACTAATGCTTTTCCTCCCAACAAAAATAATAGAAAATCAATGTAAATATGATGCAAAATTTCGGTGATTGCTATTTTCTTCAATTTGAGAAAGACAAGCTTCAGTTGATTTTTATGTGGAATGGAGAGTGACATGGAAGCAACTTGTTAAACATTACAACTATTGTTTGCATTGTAGACGAGATGTTTATTTGTTGTGCCTTCGTTCTGTTGAACTATGGTAAAAGAAAGGGTGAATAACACCTTAGTTCTGTTCAACCAAGGTAAAAGGGAAAGGGTGAACAACTAAGAAAATAGAAATATCCAGCTTTGAGAAAACTCTTAAAATAGTGAAGAAACATAGGTCTAGCCAAACAAAGAAAAAACCTCAAAACATTGTGAGCCAATTTAACAGCTTACCACTCACCCAATATCTCGGCAATCAAAATTAAACATTAAGGCTGTGCTTGATTTTGGGGGTTGGAGAACTGTGAGGGGATTGAAACGGGCTGGGTTGAAAAAGTTTTGATTTTATTTTTCTGCTTGGAAGAAGATAGAAGAATCACTTCCACTTTAATACTGTATATGTTAGGGCATAAAATAGTAATATAGCCTAGTCTAGTCACTGTTGCCAGTAGCATGACAGCTGTAGTTAGTTATCACACCTGAATTTTGTTATAGGTCAGTTAGTTAGACTCTCTATAGTGCTTCTATAAATAGAGATCTCTATACTCAAAATATGATTTCAATTCAATTAAAATTTTCAGTTCAGTTTTCTCTCAAATGTCTCTCTGCATGGCTTTTCAACATGGTATCCAAAGCTTTAAAAAGCCTGATACCATGGCCAACGATCTTTCAAGTTGTCACTGGAGAACCACCAATCATTAGTGCATCTGCTACCAGTCAGCTACTCTGGTCAATTTATCCTACACCATTAGTGAGAAGCTTGATGGCACAATGTTCTCACTTGGCTACAATTCTCATTTTCTTCATCACTTCTCACTCGTGTGGTTGGATGCAACATAGGGTTAGAAACGGCAGAAAAAAAAGGCTTTGGGGCTTTGGGTTTTGACTATTATTGGGGCTTTTTGATTTATATCAATATGGGCCAAGTTTCTGGAACCCAAAATGAAAAGAAGGGGAAGAGAAATTAAACCTAATAAAAATACATCCCACCAAAGAAAAATTGACACTCCTACGAGTTAGTGCGAGGATTTTCACGATTATGCGCATGCATGATTACTTCACTGAATCACAAACTCATTCAATTTTACGAGTTGGGATGCAATTTTGTCAACCATAAATCAGACTCAACAAAAAAAAAAAAAACAAACAAACAAACAAACAAACAATCTTCAACAAAAGACATTTCAGAAATAAGGTATCGACCAAGGCCTAGAGAAAAGCAACTTGGTTGCCTGCGAATGCACATCATAGACAACATGTATAGCCAAAATAAATAAATTTGGGGGAAGGGGTACAAAGAATGACAAGAAAAAGAATGGAGTATAGGGAATTGCACCATGTAAGACAAAAGATAGCATGCAATTAATTAAAATGTGCAGCAGTAAGGACTGCTTCTTCCCAAAAACTCTTCATAACCTTCATCTCAAACAAGGCTTGAGCAACTTCTGTAAGATTAAAATTTTTACACTCAGTCACCCCCATTTTGCTGTGGAGTGACAACACTAGAAGATTGATGCAGCATGTCATTATCATTCATGAAAGTGCGAAATGGTGTAGAAAAATATTCTTTAGCATTTTTAGTATGAATTTCATCACAAAAGGACAAAATGTAGTGAATAATTTAAATATAGATTATAACCATGTTGCACAAGAATAGTCATCGACAAAAGTTTCAAAGTATTTATATCCAAACTCTGAAGTTATGTGGCAAGGATCCTATACATTAGAATGAACAATATCAAGGAGAGCTTGAGCTATTTTATTTAAACGAGGTAAATAAACACTACTATGAAGTTTAGCAAATTGACATGATTCACAAAATAGACTGGTCATGGAATCTAACTTGCACATAATTTTCTAAGAAATCCTAAAGATGGATGATCGAACCAACAATGAAGTTGAAAAGAAAACACTAGTGACTGTAGAAGTTCGGATGTTGTTGGAACTTTGAAACCTACCAAGTACAGCACATTTTGGTCTGCAGATCTTAGAATACAGAACATTCAAGAGGATTACATAACAATTTAACAAATGTGTTATCTGACTAATGGAAAGAAGATTACAAGGAGTTGAGTAATACAATGTCCTCTATGTTCTGCTTATTTTTAATCTACGTTGCTGTTTCCAATGGCGTGTATATAGTGTTTTACTGCCATTTGATATCCTCTTGTTGGGTTTTTCCAAAATGTTTTGCACTAGCACAGACAATGGTAATCATGAGGTTTTATGCCTTATCACCTAAGAATGGTTTGACACTCTCTGCAGGTGTGGCGAAATTGTTCGGAAGATTATGTTTCTTCAGTATCAATTTGGCACCCACGGGCTCCAGATGGATTTGTGGCTCCTGGATGTGTTGCCGTTGCTGGTTATTCAGAACCAGAGCCTGATCTTGTGTACTGTGTTGCCGAGTCACTTGTTGAGGAAACAGAATTTGAAGATTTGAAGGTTTGGTCTGCACCTGACTCATATCCATGGACCTGTCATATTTATCAAGTAAAAAGTGATGCTTTGCATTTTGTTGGTCTGCGACAAAGCAAGGAAGATTCCAACTGGAAGCCTAAGAGGGTCTGCGATGACCCTCACTGTCAGTTGCCATCACCATAGTCTGAAAAGTGTTAACCTCCGTTCTGATTTCTTGGAGTGTGCCATTCGAAAGAAGACAGTAATGTAAGTTGGTTGATAATCGGGAAGACAGTGATGGAACTCGGATTGGGATGATGTATATTCTCTGATTCTGCAGTACATTGTCTTAAAAGCACCAGGTGGAAAACCCCACGCACATGCAGTTTATCTACATATCCTTTGTGTTTGTGCTGCGAAGATGCGTTGGCATTTTCTTTTACAAAAGCCACCTGCGTGATTCCAAGAGATAGAATATTACATGGTTGGTAACCTAAACAAAGACTCGCCACAGGGGTCTATTTTAAGATTCGCAGATTTTATGACGTACTTCGAACATTAAATTTCGTGGCAGAATTGACAGACTGTGCACAAAAATTGTGTGTATAGCCTTTTCTTGCTTGATTTTATTCTTAAATCATGTTTTTGTATTAGATAAATCATGTTGTAGATTAAAATAATCAAGTTGTTTAATAAGCGATCTGTTTTTGGGTCCTCCTGCATTGGGTATTCGGAAGTTAATTTGGACTGTTAGATGAATGGGATCATGTTTTTGGATATGAATTTTCTTTTCTAATTCTTTGACTTTATCCAAATAAGTTATTTCTTTGAATTTACAGACAAGATTATTAATGTAATTTTATTGAATTTTAATTTAATTATTTTGAATTATGATTAAGATCGCCATTATCTTATCAAAATAGCTAAGATGTAAGATTTGTGCTTTATATCTTCTATGTGCAAAAGATCTATAAATATAGATACTGTTGGTCGAGTATAAAAGCACATTTAAGATAATATTAAAACAATAATTTTGTATTAAAGTTATTTTAATACTTGAACTTTTAGTTAATTATGTCTTCTATAGATATTATATTTGTGCGAAATTTCTTTAGAGCGTATTATCTCTTAATTTACATTTTGTGGTGTTTAATGAATAGTTCGAAAGCTTATTTTTTCTCTTTTTTCTTTCTTTCATTTTCTGTTTTTAATTTTACATAGTTATATCTTTTAAAATTAATGGCATTCACAGGCTTTATATTTATAAATTCCTTAAATTGTCGATATCATTGTTGAATGATTCTTATTTTGTAGAATAGAAATTTCTTATAAAGTATATTAAGTTTATAAATTATTTATTTGTGATCACGATTTGGGTGATCTAACTACATAGGTCACCGTAGTCAAATTAATAAGGACTAGTTCATACAGTAATAGACATTTAAAGGGTTAAAATAAATTAAGTAAACATCTATTCACACGATTATCCCTTATAGTGTGTTTGGATGGAGAATTTAAATGGAGTAATTCATTTATTTGAAGAATTTCAAATTCTTTGGGATGAAATACCTTGTTTGGATGGAGAATTTATAAGGAATTTGAAATTCAAGCATTTGTGAAATTCCTTGAAATAGTAGAATTTCAAATTCTCCCAAAAAAGTAAGAATTTGAAATTTCTCATATTTTTTTTCTTCTTATTTCACTTATATATTTTATCTTATCTCTTATCTCTTCATGTTTTTAATTATTAAATATTTAAAAATATTTTTAAGATTATTAAATATTATATTATTAATTTTTTAAAATTATTAAAAATTTAAAAATTTGCTAATATTTATTTTTATAAAATTTAATTTAAAAATTCTCAGCATATAAATATGTTTTTAAAATCAATTTTACTATGGTGGAATCAAATTATCATATCCAACCTAATAATTTAAAATTTGATAAATTTGAATTGACTTATCCAAACAAAATATTTAAAGAATGATAGAAATTAAAAACAAAGTAATTCAAATACGAAGAATTTAAAATTCCTTGAATTTGTAAAATTCCTCATTCAAACACACTATTAGGGTTATTGGCCTCGATGGATTACGGAGGGAGAGTGTTTATAAACTACCTTTAAACTCGACTCTCAGTCGATACTAAGTGACAAGAATGGGGTAGACCCCCTCCTTCTAACGCCAAATGTTCCTACATTAAGTCTCCTATCATCGTTAGAGTCATCGCATACGATACATTGTCCACTTTGGCGCTTGTTGAACCGTGAGAAGAAGAGTGTTTATAAACCACCCTTAGCCTCGATTCCTAAGCGATGTGATACTTTTAGGCATATCAGAACATTTTCTATTTTTAAAAGCTTGTATAGAAAACAATGAAACATAATTAGAAATTAGTTTCACGGAATTATACCCCTCTGATTCTTATTATAAGAAAAAAAAGCATTACATTAATTAAGAAAGCTTATTTACATCATTTAATTTTGCTAATCTCATCTAAAAAATGATTTATTTTTCTAAATTATTCTTTCTTGAAAGATGGTATTAAGAATAAAATGAATATTAGAAATACAATTTCAATTAAATGAAACGAATATTTTTAAGACAACAACATTAAATAAAATGAGATTAATTGAAATTTACATATATTTTGAGAAATTATTAAATATTTAAAAATGAATTAATATTTATTTTTATAAAATTTAATTTAAAAATATCATCATATAAATATATTTTTAAAATCAATTTTATTATGATGGAATCAAATTATCATATTCAACCTAACAATTTAAAATTTAAGAAATTTGAATTGACTCATCCAAACAAAATATTTAAGAATGATAGAAATTGAAATCAAAATAATTTAAATACCAAGAATTTAAAATTCCTTGAATTTGTAAAATTCCTTGAATTTGTAAAATTTCTCGTCCAAACACACCAGAGTTAACATACTTGTGGTGAATCACTTTTTTTGTTTGTCATTCTGACTCAGGAGAAATTGAAGCTCCGTTGATAAATTCAAAACAACTACTCGAATTGGTAGGCGTTGATGGGCCACGCAAGCATGGGCACTCCCGCCACCACCGCTTCTAGCACCGAGTTCCACCTGCAGTGCGTCAAGAACGCCCCCCACCGCACGGTGCCTCAAAAGTCAAAATCACGACCTGCTAATCACCACACCCATCATCATTTTCATTTCCCTTCCCACCTTCTTCTTCTTTAATTGACAAGTGAAATGCACCCCGCTCTTTACCAACCCCGACTTAATCGCCTCTTTCTGATCCGGCTCCCGAAGCAAACATACACCACCTTACTCTCTTCCATTCTGTCAAGCCACGAAACGACGTCGTTCACCAACACCGTGCTCGCCCCGATCGTGGCCCAATTCCTTTCTAAGAAACTCAAAATAAGGCCTTTCGAGGTTGGAGAACCAGTTCACAAGGAGTCCCCAGCTTGCGAAGTTTCCGAGGTACCACTCTCTTAAATAATCGGAATCCTTATCCCCTGCGTTGTAGCTTCGGAACAGAGGGGAGACCTGCCACCAGGGGAATCCAGGGGGTGCTATTCATGCGTAATTGTTTTTTCACGGGCTTTTAGCCCCTTTTATATCATGAAAAATAAAAATAAAATAAAACTAAAAAATAAAAAAATAAAAATAAAAATAAAAAAACTCTTATCAATCACCATTTGTTATAACAAGTGTTATAATAATTGGGTCATCGTCCTTTAGGAAAATGTTACTATAGACATCCTTTGAGAATGAAAGAAGTGGCATGAATCCTTTTTTGCAATTGAATGATGATACCTCCATTATAATTAAACTGATTTCAATTATTTTTAAGAATTACAATTTCTAAAATTTATAATTATTAAGAATCATGATTTTTGAATATAAAAAAAATAAAAAATTTCATTCTCTTAATCAATCTTTATGTTAATTTCAGTACGAGGAGTTTGAGCATTTAGTGGTGAATTATCTTGGTTTCTCTTTTCTCCACTTCCTTTAAAAGCTCTCTTTATCATATCAATCCTTCTTGTTAAATTTAGTCTTTTTACATATTAAATAAATTGTCCACTCTAGATCATTCTTTAATAGTAATGTGATTGTACAGGAGATACAATACTTCATTACACTCTTATATTTTCTTTTCATCAATCACTTTTTTCAATTATTTTATTTAAAAAAATATTTATAATCATAATTTTATACATTAAATAGATAATTTATGTTAATGGATATTTTTTTGATTAGTGGAAAAAAGAAATAACAAAAGGGAAGAGAAAGCAAACTAATTACTCCTTAAATATAAGGTCTATATCATATCTTCCAACAATAACAAAGACATATGAGTAGGACAAAAAGGCTAAATGACTAAAGTGTTAGACAAGGTATTCTCAATCTTGACAAGAAAGTTTGTTATTCTATTTCCTTCGTGATAAATATGATGGAAAGAAAGGCTTCATGGAAGACTGTAGGAGACTTTGATTTTAGAAAATAAAGGAGCATAAGGATGAGTCAATAAAATTCCTTCTTTAATAAGAGAAATGGTCACCTATGAATTTGATTTACACATTATATTTCAAAAACTAAGTTGTTGAGCTATAAATAGATCATAAAAAAATTGTTAATAGTTTCGCATTTATATTTGAAGAGAAACCACACGAGTCTGCATATGCCTCTATCCAATTCTGAAGATCTCTAAAAATTCCTCCAAAATTGGAAAAATCAGGGTTTCCTTTGAAGTTTCCATCTATATTCAGCTTAACAAAGTGTTTTGCAAGTGGAATTTAACCTATCATGAAGTCTTAATATTGAGAAGATGAAACTACAACCATTTTGCTAATGTCACTAACCAAGCATTGAATTTGGTTGATAATAAATCAATGTTACCAAACTATATCCTAAAATACTTCAATGTTCTTGGACCTCCAAATGTACCATGTTGCAACAAAATGAATCCTTCTCGGGCTAGTAGGATGACTTTGCAACCAAGTAGTAACAATTATTTGAGGGTCATCTACATGGAATAAGAATTAAAGAATGTTCCATACGATCTTGACCTTATTACAGTCCCTCAACGTATGCAAAATTGATTTTTTGGGATCTCCACACCTATTACAGGAAGAGTCAATAGACAAATGCTTATAACAATGAAAAATTTTAGTTGGAAGAGAGCTATGACTAGCAAGTCATAGATAATATTTAATATTTTCTAGAAAAGGAGTAGACAACACATAGGATGCAGTATCAAGCAAAGAATTATGAGTAAATTAGGCTTGTGTAATCCATCATTAAGTAGATTTGGTAGTGTATTGTCTATTAGAAGAAGAATCTCAAATAATCATATCTTACATGTCTTCAATCAAGAAACTACTACTAATGAGAGCTTTGACCTTATCTATATATGGTGTTAATAATAAATTCAAATGCAACAACCCATTATTGTAAACATGGTGAAGCTGGAAATTTAAATCATTCACAAGGACATAGTCAACAATTTGACAAAGAGTCCTATATGTGCTCTACCAATCAAACCAAATAGAGAGATGGTCTTACTCATTCTGTATCAAAAAGTCATGTTAAAGAATTGTTGCCGCCTTAATAATTGAGGACCATGAATAGGAATTTCCAGGATTGGCATATGTGTGGAGAATATACTCCCCTTTGAGATACTTGTTAATCAGCAATGAAACTCAAAACATGTTAGTCTCATTAACCAAAGACCAAACATATTTTTCAAGAAGTGCAACATTCACCTCTTTAGGAGTTTGAATACCTAAGCCACGGTAGAAT